TACCCGTCGCTTCTCCAACGCGTTACGTGCGGTCTGGGCTTGTGCGGCGAGCCAGGACCGAGTTTTGCAGAGTTATTGTTATTATCCGTGTGTATCAGGCTGTTTGTAATCTATACTAAGCAGATGCCCTAACGCCCCCCGCGGGTTTGTATGTGGGTTTGGTTTCGTGTTTCTGCTGGTGTTAAAGCCGCGACTGCTTCGCTGAACTTTCGTTTTGTAGTGAAGTCAAGTCTGGGCTTTATGGGAGTTTGGAGAGGCCAACCCTGCAACCAGGGGACATGGATAAATGTAGTGTAGTTGCAGAAGTGTTGGTGAACAGTTTCTTGTGACTTTGCTTCGTTCTTGGATGGATTTTCAGCGTAGGTTTAACATCCAGTAGGGAAAAATACTCTGATGCCATTGAGTTACTTTGTTGTATAGCTTTAACATCCAGTAGGGAAAAATGCTCTGATGCCATTGAGTTACTTTGTTGTGTGAAACTTTCTGTTGTGTTGTAAAGTTAAAAGTTACAATTTCTGTTACAAATTCTGTCAGTTTCTGAGGAAAATCTTGGTTAAGTTGCTGTTTATCTTGAGAAGCATACTACAACGTACAGAGGAGGGTGAGTTGTGCTGTCCCACAGTCCCTGCTCCCTGTGCTTGGCCCAATCTGTACTAGGATGTACAGAGGAGGGAGAGTTGTGCTGTCCCATAGTCCCTGCTCCCTGTGCTTGGCCCAATGACATAAGCAAATTTTAGCTTGGATAAAAGAGGGAGCGAAATTCCATCACTGCAGCACTCAGGTCCAGGCAGGGCTGGACTGGATAAAAGAGGGAGTGAAATTCCATCACCGCAGCACTCAGGTCCAGGCAGGGCTGGATTTGTTTTCGGTTTGCTTTCCTCTTTCCTGCCACCTCCTCACCAAGGATGTGTCTTCAGGGCCTGAGTCTTTTACTGCTCTTGGCTGGTCTGGATTTCCTTGTTTGGCAATAGCTGGTAGTGACTGTGCTGAAAGCAAGATGAGAGATTGCTAAAACTGTAATCAAGTTAATATTAGCCTTTTTATTACTATTGTTAAAATGATAGGTAATAAGCTAAGTGTAACAAAGAGTTCATTTATTTCAGTCTCTAGTGAAGATAAGACATACTTTTATGGATTCCCAGTCACTAAGTGCATGGTGAATGCATTTGGTGAGGCAAAAACTTCGTTCTGTGCAGAGCAGAAGTTTAATGTGTAAGGGGATGTACTTTTCTTTTTATGTGCATTCACTCCTCATCATTTCTTACCTTGGTGGTGTTGATAAAAGGTACCACCTCCATAGGACTGTGGGTTTGGTATGGCCTCATTGGAAAGAGACTTCATTAGCTTAAACCTCCCATGATAAAAGCAGAAATAGTCCTCTCCTTTTTATCATTACAACTTAATCTTTGCCCGTGAATCATGCTAAAAGCAATTTTTAAGAACAAGGTCTCAAAGGAGAAAAGTGCGTGTTTAACTCAGTTTGATCACGAGTTAGTGCTGGGTAGGGAGATTCTGCAGAGGTTGAAAGCTAAAGTGCAATTATAATTGTGTCATTTTACAGAAAAAAAAGGGAGGCAATACTAATTTTCCTTTTTACATACTGTTGTGTTCATAGTATTGTCACACTCTCTAACCTGGTAACTGCTTGGGAAAACTGACTAGTGCAAGTGAATCAGTTTAAAATTGGCCTAACTCCTTGTGTTTTTTCAGAAGTTTACTAATTTCCATGACTAAGTGCTGTTTTTGCAATTACATCAAATATTTTGGTGGTTTGTACTTTGACAGTTATAATGGGAGCAAAATATTATTTATCATCTTAAAGTATTATATTCTACCATAGTGAAAACAAACAGAGGAAAGATACATTAGTTAGAAAATAAACTTTCCACTGTGGCAGAATTGTGGGGTCATTGCAGTGATGCTAAAAAACAAGGCTGTTCTGACAATGTTGTTGTCAGAACTTTGGATTGTTATGATGTTAGCCTAACCTCAATGTTTTTTAAAGGTGATCAGTGAGAAGTGGAAAAATGGCTAAATCAACACAGTTAATTGACAATGAAGTCTTCCAGGCTTATGCCACTTACACAGCTATTGTTCTTCTGAAAATGATGCTGATGAGTCTTGTAACAGCATACTTCAGGATCACCAGAAAGGTAAGAATTTGGCAATACTGTATGGGAGAACAGACTGAAATTTCGATTGAAGTATAGAGATACCACCGGTGTTTCTTCTCTTTTCAGCCTCCAAATGCTGCTGTTCACTTTCTTCCTTCTCCATCTTCTAAAGATTTTCTCAGTTTGGCCTGCTGGTGCTCTGTTGGTCTGAAATGGATGATCTCTCTTGCCTAATTATGAGATAATGATGAGACTATGTATCTTATGGTTGCATTTGACTTACTCTACCCTTCTAAAACATTTCTGTTGCTTTCAACTACAAGTTTTTCATAACTGTAATTTCCACTGTCTTCTACAGAACGCTTATGTCCAGGGTACCCAATTTATAAAGCAAATAAAGTGTGATATGGAGCCATATTACATCAATAACCAACTAGTAGGGTCAGAAGAGCTTTTTACATTCCCTAATTGTTTCAAACTTCACATTGCAGGTCATTATCTGAAAGAAACCTGATTAATTTTTGTTTTCTGAGTGAGGTAGTCTGAAAATTGGATTTTCATTTTTGTAAGTACTTGAAGATATGTGGATTGATGTGCAGGCTAAATGAGAATATGAAAGATCCACTGAGGTTTATGAAGTAATGCAGAAGCTGCATCTAGCTTAGGAGAGAGTGCTCATGGCAATCACTGTGTTGTGTTTACCTGTTCCTGCTCATACTTGGTCATAAATGACTGAAGCTCTTGGATACTATTGCTGAATAAGGAAGGGATCCAAAAGGGCATTCAGGTTGTTTGTAGAGAATGGTGAAAGAGAGACTTGGGCAGTACAGACCTTGTACCTTGCAGTACCAGCTTCACCCACTGACATTCCTTCTGGTCCTATCAGTCACCTGCTGTGATGGTCCATCTTACAAGATTATCTACATGCATAAATTGCATGTCCAATGAGGAGAGGCTGAGGGAGCTGGGGTTGTTTAGCCTGGAGAAGAGGAGGCTCAGGGGAGACCTTCTCACCCTCTACAACTCCCTGACAGGAGGTTGGAGTCAGGTGGGGATTGGTCTCTTCTCCCAGGCAACCAGCAGCAGGACAAGAGGGCACAGACTCAAGCTCTGCCAGGGGAGGGTTAGGTTAGATATTTGGAAAAAAAAATTTTATATAGAGAATAATCAGGCATTGGAATGTGCTGCCCAGGGAGGTGGTGGATTCACCTTCTCTGGAGGTTTTGAAGATGAGACTGGATGTGGCACTTAGTGCCATGGTCGAGTAACCCTGGTAGGGTTGGACTGGATGATCTTGGAGGTCTTTTCCAGCCCAGTTGATTCTATAATTCTATGAAATTACATTATATTAATTGGTCAGCACACAAGATGCAAACAGGCTGGGCTCAAGGAAACAGTAATGCAGTGAACAATGTATTATTCTCACTGCATTTCACTTAAGGTAAGTTATGTGAGGTCATAGAGGCATTGGAAAAAGAGTGACCTTTAGAGCAAGCTGCCTTGACTGGTTAAAACATTTTGGCTTCTAATGTCTACTGTGTGGTTATGTTTGGAACAGGCATTTGTGAACCCAGAAGATACAGCATCATTTGGCAAAGGTGAGAGTGCTAAGAAATACCTGAGGACTGATCCAGATGTGGAACGTGTACGCAGGTAATGCATAGGAATCTCTAAAAGTTACTTAAAATTAAAAAGAGTAATACTAAATCAAGGAATTAATTTCACCCCACCCTCTCTGGCGAGCCTGTGTGTGCTTTGTGTTGCTTTACATAGTAATTAGCACATTAATTAATTTAAATGAACAAACCATTCCACATTCAAATGGTCAGCATGCATACTAAGTAAGTCATAATAGCTAACTCTCGGGTAGTGTCCTGTATGCATGGGGGAAGTGGTGAGAAGATTGTAAACCATGACCTCAAGTTGATTTAATATGAAGCAGTGTCCATTAACTGTAAATCAGCTGTAACTTGAACCCCAGTTCAAACTGTGTTTGAACCCCAGTTGCAAAATTTGAATCTTTTCCTAAAGTGTAAAGAGGAATAAAATTATGTTAAAGTCCTGGAACTCCAGAGTTGTGACCAGGCCATTAATCTGACAAGAGCTGGAGTCAGAGCCTGTGCTCTTCCTGCTGGATGGAATCAAAGTCACTCACCCAGTTGTAGAGAAGGGTTGCCCACCCTTCTGGAAGAATGCTGTTACTAGGATGGCAGTGTGCAACCTGCTGTGTATGTATTTTCTTTTGCAAGATTCGTGGCAGAACGTAAACTGTATTTCAGTGGGTTAAATACTGCAGTTTAGTTATTTTTATTTAGCTGATGGCAAAATTTGTTGTTACCAGAATCATAACTTTCAAGGTGCTGTTTGATACACCTGTGCTAACAAAGAAAGCTGTAACAGAGTTCTTTCCATATGGTAATTTCTTAATGAAGCTAAGTTTATTTTTATACCAAAAACTAGAATGTGAATGAACTGTTCTCATTTAAACCACCATTAGGGGAGATTTTGAAAATAAGTATCATCTTTGATTTAAGAACATTGCATCCTTGCAAGTGTAGATGCCTGTGGTTTCATGAAGTACATTTCTGTCTGTCTCTTCTGGATTAAAACCTCAGAAAGAAGAGTCTAATGCCAGTGGGTTGTAAAAATGCTCTGACCTTTTGTTTTCTGCCCCTGAGTACTTCAGAGAGTTGTTGCTTAATTTGCTGGATGTTCTGTAAAAATGGGCACTTTTTGGTGAGGGTAATTCCTTTGTATTTATAAATTCTAGGAGGCCAAGCAAGTTGCAACTAACTTTATGACCAGGTGCCCATGTGACTCAGATTCTTGCATGTCCAGGTGCACTCCTATACCTCATGGAAGTCCCTAATACTCCCCAGATCCAGGGGAAAAACTAAGACCTTTCATACAGAAGATCAGAAGCTTAAAAATGTGGGGTGCAGCAAGAGACACCAGAGTGATGTCAGGTGAACATGCCAAAATCATTTCAGTAGCTGAATCCTTTCCCCACTGCAGAGGAAGCCAAGAGTTGTGTTAGGGCATGGACAGTAATGTGCTCTGAAGATGCTGAAAAGTAACGAGGCTTGAACTGCTTTATTTAACAGAATGTAACCTTGTAAAATAACTGTTTTTTTCTCCAGAGGCCACCTGAACGACCTTGAAAATATTGTCCCTTTTGTTGGCATTGGACTGCTGTATGCTCTCAGTGGCCCAGACCTGTCCACAGCCTTGCTGCACTTCAGGATCTTCGCTGGGGCTAGGATCATGCACACTTTTGCTTACTTGATCCCTCTTCCCCAGCCCAGCAGAGGTTTGTCCTGGGCAGCTGGCTATGCAGTGACCTTCTCCATGGCATACAAAGTGCTGAAGACAGTGTTGTTCCTGTAGCAGAGTTGTAGCTTCTGGGCACCATTCAACATTGCACACTAAATTTCCAGCAGTGTACATTGACGTCTTCAGTGATCCTATGAATCTTCCATGGTGACTGGAATTCTATTTTTAACAGAGGCTTTTCTATCCTGTTCAGAAATGTTTCTTTTTTGGAGAAGAAAAAGGATCCTTCTCCCTGTATTCCCTGTCCACGGGTTGCATTGCCAAATACTAGATTGAATGTTCCCTTTGCGATTTGTCAAGTGCTTACAATTCTAACCATGTGATGATGCTGTATTGATAGCATGTGTGGTAATTTTCTACAGATGCACTATTTTTGGCTGTAGCTCTGAAGCCTAAATCAATAAAGACAAGATTTTAAAAAAGCCTGTTTGTATTTTTGTTTTCATTTCGACTCTCCTCACTGCAGCCAGCAAATAGCATGTCACTATGTATCAGGGAGAGATTCCAATCATACAGTCTTTTGAAGAATGCTTACCTTAATAATAAGATATAACCAGTAATGCTAGGCTGGTTGTAAAAACTGTTTGATGAAATTGTTGTTTGTATAATCCACTTTGGGATTAAAAACCCTCAGCTGTTTTAGCTCCATTTCTCTCAGTTGAATAGATTAAAAAGGAAGAAAGTATTTGGTCTAAATTCTGTTTGCAGATGCTGGTGAAAATTTGAGGTAATTATTTTTGTTGAAGTTAGTGCAAACATAGGTTTCATGACTGGATAAAGTGTAGACCCTTTGTAGGAGATTTTTTTTTCATTTTAGAATAAATTCAGCATGAAATGAGTGACACTCGCAAATGTAGATATCAAGTACTTCAGATGTGCATATATAATTAGTTTGTGTGTCATACTGTCATAAATATGTTGCTGATAGGAAATTCTGCTCTTTGCTTGTATCTTTCTATGATGTGTTAGTTTGAAATATTTTCTTTAAGACTTTTTTCCTGGTTTTTTTTGTTGTTTTATTTGGGGTTTGTTTTGTAGCTGTGGCTTACATAATAGCACAAGATTTCAAGGAAAAAATTTTTTGTAGCTGTGGCTTAAATAATAGCACAAGATTTCAAGGAAAAAAGTGACCCAGAAGAGTCTTTATATCCAGTGTGCTGGTCATTGATAAGTTCTAAATGGCAGAAGTCAGAGCTCAACACGTTTGGTTTACTTTCCTGCCCCTGAGGCAGTGCTGCTAAGGGATGGCCCAGAGAGGAGCTGGAGAGTTCTCTGGTGCTTCCATATGCCAAAGGGTTTGCTTTGCTTTTGGCATGGGAGAAGTAGTTGTAGTAAAGCAAGAAATAACACAGGAGGGCTTACCTACCCATCTACCCACAGTTGTGAGGTGGAAGTTGATGCAGTGCTGTTAGGCTGTAACTGAGAAGGGTAACAGGAGGAGTTGGGAAGAGAGACTGGTTTAATTCAGAGGAAGGATTTTTATTGCAATTCAAAGAGAGTGTTTAAGTCTTGTCTACTAAAGAAGTGAAGGTGGGACTTGAAATCCAGAAGTCATTGATTGACCAAAAATTTAATCTAAGTAATGGGTAAAAGAATGAAGATCTGGATCATCTAGAATCAAGATGCTTAAGAGAGGAGGATTAAAACCAGAATATTTTGGAGCTTCAGCTCCTGACATGGCAGGGGAAGAACATGTGAGTACCTCTGGGTTAGCAGAGACTCCAGTGGGAAACATAGCATAGCCTTTCATGGTTCTTGTCCTCACAGCTTTCTCTACTGTGTTCTGCTTGTGCTATTTTCCTCCTGTTCCTTCTTCCTCTGCTAGATTTTTGTGGGGTCTTGAGACCAGATACCTTGAATGGTATCATTGTGACAATGGCCATCAGCTCTTCCCAATTTGAGGACTAGTGCTGGAGGCTGAAGGCATGAGGCTGCTGCCTAGAACTGCAGCCCAAACCAGTCCCTGTCATAGTCGACCTGCCAACTCAGATTGATCAGGTTGTGGCTCCTCTTGCTTGCTTGTATCACACTAGCAGCATCTGAAGCTGTATTTCCTTCACTACATTGTAGCTTGGCTTTTCTTCCCAGCTGTGTGTGTTTCTATCCATTGAAAACAAAGGGAAAGTAGCCACCATGAAGAGGGACCCAGTCGAAATTCAGGAGCAGAGCAAGTCCTCTCCTTGCAAAAGGCTCTTCTGACGAGCCTAGTTGTCATTGCCAAACATACACAGGAACAGCATTTTTAACTCCTTTTGCATCAAACTTCCGTACAGAAATCCCATTCTGAAGAAAAATACCTGGAGCCTGTCTTTATTCCTGTGATCTTACATTTGAAACAAAACTAGTTTTAAATCCCTTCCATTTGCCCAGTGGTTTCAAAGCCCTGAACATACACTGGTTCTGCTGAGAAGTAGGAAAGAAAAATGGAAACTCTTAGAAATACCTAGAGTGATTCAATATTATTCTGTGTTTCTCTTGCATTTATTTTAAACCTATATTTTATTTTCCTTTGCTCCCACAAATACCATCTGTGGATCTGGGCGGGGTGTGTGCTCAATCTGGGAAATGTGCATTACCAGCTTCAGTGAAACTCCGACTGCCAGCTCTGCAGAAGTGTGTTGGAGTGGTCCTTGTCAAACAGCTCTTGCATTTCTCCAGTCCATGCCCTGGAGAGGTATATTGTACCTGTTGTACAGCTGTAAATTTTAAAAGGTTAGCATATTTCAGGGGAACTAGCAAAGGAAAAAGAGTGTATTACTTGAATTTATTACTGCGCTAAACTGAATGTTCACCTTTTTAAACATGCACATGTGGATTTCAGCCTGCTATTACCAGGTTCTGTTACAAAATCATTAAATGAAGTAACCCTTAACTGATAAAACAACTGGCTGTTATCAGCAGGTATGCAGTTTTTAACCCAGTGAAAGTACAGGAATAGCTAGTCCATGGGAGACATAAAAAGAAGTCAAACCATCATCTTCTATGCTTCATTTCTGTTCCTTATGCCTGTTATTCCCATCACTAATCTTAGGCAACTGGAGAAGCCACAGAGTTTCATCTTTCAGCTAATTATTCCTGGTATTTTGTGGTTTTGCTTCTCCCAAGTATTTTGTGCCTTTTTGAAGTGGCTCTAATAGTTGACCATGTGACACTTCAAAATGCCAAGTGGCAGAGCTTGACCTGCTTAGCTGACTTCATCTAGGAGTGAATTTCATGGGCTGCTTTGTTTCCAGAAGTGGAAGTGTGAGCAATTCCTCAATTAATTTTCTACTCTATAGGTAAATGCTTATGTGTCTTTGGCCAAATTTTTTTTGTCCTGGTTTTCATGGCTGCAGACAGATGTGCTGAAGGCAGTGAATTGTTGAGAGGGGTGGTGGCTGGCAAAGAATTCTGAGCTAGGACTTGCCATTTGAACATGACTTTGTGTCCTGTCACAACTGAGCAAGTGTTGAAAAGTGTACATGATATGTTAAATGTTTCCTCGAATTTTCAGAAACAAGTGTCTAGCTGAACTTCATTGCCTTCATGGTTTTAATTTCAAGAAGCTGGGTCAATGTTTCTGAAAGTGATGGAATTGCATGTCACCAAAGTACAGGAAAAGAAAAACTTTGGCTCTTAATTCAAATCACTTTGAACTTTAGAAAAATTCTAGTTGCCTGAAGCCCATTATGGCCATAGACTCCATGGTTAGCTGTGTCTCTTCCTAGTTATATACAGAAACAAATTCTATCTACATTTTTTGGTGGAAAATGCCTGCAGTGTATGTCCTTTCTAAAAGCAAAACTGTAAAAACACCCTTTTTAAAGTAACTAGAGTGTTGTCTGTTATTATTCAAGCTAACACAGTTTTCATGTCAAGGCTGAAGTTTAGGATGAACTTTTCTCCAAACGTTGTCTGTCAGACTGAGATGGCACATCAGGTGCTCTGTGAAAGGTTGTATTGACATGCATTAAAATACTCTCATGATTAAATATCCCTGGCTGTTGGACACTTGGGAATCTAATACCTCTTTGTGGTTCACTTTAAGTGATATTCAGACTCCCAAATCTTGATTAGTAACTCCCACTCAGAGATTTTGAAGGCTAAAATAGATCATTAGCTCCTTCAGCCTGACCTCTAGTGGAAAAGATGCCATGGAATGACTGCCCTTCTGCTGGGGTTAGCTTAATCACAGTGTAACTTCCACAAAGGTGTGTGATCCTTTCAGAGGCTTTGGGAGACAGGCATTGATTCTCTGTGTTCTATGACATTGTTTCTCTCTGAATTATATGCAAACTTAGGCTTTAAAACCAACATAGATTGGTTTTGTTGGCTTTGTTTAGGTGTTGTTGGGTTTTGGATTTATTTTTTTTTAAATTGAGGCGTTCTTATTTAATTATTGCAGTGCAAGGAGGAATCAGGAGCTTTCCTCCTACAAAGCACTCTGCTCTTTAATTGGAAAGCCAAAAATTTAGAGCCCCTTTCCACATGTGAAAAACCACTACTCTTCTGTTTTAAAAGTAGAGAAACGCAAGGTGTAATGCCTGAAGTTCTTTTCTGTAGAATACTAATAGTGTTATGGTGCATTTACACATGGGACTGTTGTGCACAAATGCTTGCAGTGTATGAAGTCGTAACCACAATCCTATGCCACAAATTCTGTAAGTAGTACTACAATGATGGAGAGCATCCCTTGCTAGTCTGGAGTGAAGCATCTTGAAGTGGATTCTTACAGAAGAGTGGAGAATGACATCTCCAGCACACTTTGTTCCAGGCCTGCTGAGCTGTAACATGGGCAGGGGAGTGGTGACTGACTTCTATTAACTAGTCAACTCCATGCCTTGGCACAGTGTTTCCAAGTACTGACCTGCATTTGCCATGGAAACAAATTTTAAAGTAATGAAAGGACATTAATTTGGCAGTGGCCACATAAATCCCACCATGGAATGTTTTTATATTGAGTTCTTTGCTGGTGGGCCCCAGTGTGCATCACCACTGGCAGCATCTTCCTTCTACATCTCACATGTGCTGGTGAACTTTGACAAGAACTTGAGAAGTTCCAAGAAACCTGAGATAAAAGGAAGAGTGTATCATGGGCATTGCTTGCCTAGTGAGGGGGAATATATTCAGAAGGTAGTGTCAGACCTGCAGAAACAATGAGGGGGGAAAAAAAAAAGGGAGAACTGAAAGGAGGGAAATGCTTTAATGATAGCTTAGCACAGCATCAAGGAGCAAACTGGGTGAAGACTAATAGATGAAGTGTTGTAAGAGAGGCAGGTAGCTTTCTGCTTTATAAACCTGTTTTACTATCTCTGATTAAAACAAGTTCATTTTTAAGAATGTTTATCCTTGTGTATTCAGTCATTAAATAGCTGCAAAGAGGACTAGAAATGCCTCAAATCAGGGTGGAGAGGACCCATGGGCTGGCTAGCTAA